ATGGTATGCAACATTTAATTTCTTTTGAATCTAATGTGCTTTAAAGTTAAAATGCAATAAATCGGAAAACAATGGGTAAATAATAATAATACATGTATATGTCTACAGAATATATCTTACCTGTCCATACTGAACCAGCAGTAAAAACGACGAAAGCTGTCCGGATAAGCATTTTATCCCTTTTCCTGAGTTGGTTCTCTCAGTGATTTGATGGAAGCTGCTGTGGTACTTGTATAAGACAGTATAACGTCAATCAGCCCTAGGTCCCGCCCCTCCTCCTCTACCGTTTGCCCTGAGGTCATGGACCTGAACCAAATGACCTTAATATAGTCACCTTTTCCAATTTAAATGTAATTTAAAGTTTTCTGCGATGTTATCGTTTGAGTTTTTAAAAGGCTCTTTTTTACATGAACGCATGTTATATGTTTAATAAAGTGTTCGAGATTATTCTTGATTTTAAATACACCTGGTACACCAGTAAACACTTTTTTACTAAATATTGGTCAAAGCTAATACAAATTCATAACCTGAAATTGATATTCTGGATGGGGTGGTATTCTTCATTTTGGAGCTTTTTATTGGTCATTCCAGTGAGAATTCTTCAAAAACGGGAGACAATTCCTGTAATATTCTGGTTGAAATTTCCCGTATATGAATTATCTGTCCATTAATCTCTTCGACAAGCATTTTCAATGAGGCTTTCCCTTTTATAGGAAGAATTTTTTTTTCATTTACTAGGGATTAAGACACGTGAACAGTCGAGATATACCATGTAGCTCTACCAAAAAAAAAAAAAAAAAAAAAAAAAAACAGAAGTACTGTGAGCACTGAGCTTATTAAATGATGCCCCCGCCTCCGATTTGATTATAATGGCAAAATCCATGTTTTACTATGGGAGACCTGAAATAAATGTCAAATAAAATTTAAAATAGGACGTGCACCATGGCATTATGCATTAAAGAATCTGTGAAAGTTTCATTAAATTTTATTCACTGGTATAAAAGGAGTTGCGGATAAGATACGAGTACCCTTTAATATAAAAGAAGAAATGGCACTGCAGTGTTTCGCTATGGGAAACCCGAAATATTTTTTTTCCGATCAAAAAATAAAATAGAAGGTGCATTGTGCACTATGTAGCAAAGGATTTATGAAAGTCTCCTTTAATTTTATTCAGTGGTATAAGAAAAGTTGTGGATACCCCAAAGTGTAACAGACGGACGGACGGACGGACATCCTGATCACTATATACCATCCCACTTTTCAAAGCGGGGGTATAGAGATCTAGAAATGTTATTTTAAAAAGTCGATACGATTTTTCAAACGGTATAATCATTGTATTTGAAAAAAATAAGGGAAAAGCTGGTGCTGATCATGAATTCACTTACATAATATTTTTGATACTTTACATTTATTTTGATGTCCGTTGTCATACCAGAGTTAAATTTCTACTCATCGAAAGTGATATTAATTATGGCGTGGCCAACTTTACACACCCAAATCTGCACTAAGCTTATCTTTCCTCTCTCAAATCTGTATTATTCCGAATTTTCCGTCGTTTTCCAGGCTTTTCGCTTTTTTGATATTTGTGTATAAATTTACATGTCGATCAAGCGTCGCCTGATCATCGATCGCTGAGCCACAGTTTGATTTTCACGATGACCGACTTTTACGAAAATTCAGTTCCGATCGACCGACGACCTGGTTGCAGATTGTTGGATGATTATCAAAAGTTGGACGACGCACTTTTCAACTTTATTTATTCATTCATTCGAAAAAGGGAGGACTGATACCTCATATACGGGAAATTTCTGTTAAGCTTATCAGCCAGAATAATACAGGAATTTTCTGCCTTTTTTGAATGAATGAATGAATAAATAAAAAGGAATGCACATGTGAAATATGGAAGTCATAGATCCACTAAATCAAACGTTATTTTTATTCATTTAAACAATATTTTATTATGTATAAACATAACAGATTGGACATCAGGCACTGCCAATTTATGTCCTCTACATAATGAAAGTCAAAATTTATGGGTAAGGTAAAAGTTTTTGCGGACAAGCAGACAGACAGACAGACGGACGGACACGACAAAAACTATATACCCCATAATCTTCGATTTCGGGGGCATAAAGATATGCAAACACAATTCATTTAAAATTTCAGCATTTCTTATCAATAATACGTTTATTATACCCCCCCGCTTGAAAAGCGGGAGGGTATATAGTAATCGTTAATTCCGTCCGTCTGTACGTCCGTCCGTCCGTCCGTCCGTCTGTCTGTTCGTCCGTCCGTCTGTTACGCTTTAGGGTACCCATCTCTTATCCGCAACTCCTCTTATACAACTGAGTGAAATTTAATGAAACTTTCACAGAATCTTTATTACATATTGCCATTGTGCACCTCCTATTTAACTTTTTGATCTGACACATATTTTGGGTGTCCCGGCCATGGCAAAACATGGGCTTTGTCATCAGTTATAACGATATGGGAGGCGGGGGGTATCATTTAGTGAGCTCATTGCTCACAGTACCTCTAGTTTATTGATTTTTCTCCTTTCTCTCTCTCTCTCTCTCTCTCTCTCTCTCTCTCTCTCTCTTTCCATAGAATCATTAAGTACATGTATGAATTATTCTTGGTGTCGAAAAAAAAATATATGACAGAAATACAATGATGTGCATTGAAGTGGTTACATTTTTTCGTTTAAATGAAACATTTCAAACTAGAGGTACTGTGAGCGATTAGCTCACTAAATGATACCCCCCGCCTCCCATATGGTTATAACTGGTGAAAAAGTCCATGTTTTCCTGTCGCCGGGAAACCCAAAATATGTGTCGGATCAAAAAGTAAAATAAGAGGTGCACAATGGCAACATGTAATAAAGATTCTGTGAAAGTTTTATCAAATTTCATTCAGTGGTATGAGAGGAGTTGCGGATAAGAGATGGGTACCCCAAAGCGTAACAGACGGACGGACGGACGGACAGACGGACGGACGGACGGACGTACAGACGGACGGACGGAATTAACGATTACTATATACCCTCCCGCTTTTCAAGCGGGGGGTATAAAAATTAATTCATTTTGAACGTTAGTTGTCGCATTATGCATAATGACACGCCCATTTTCTTCAAAAGCGGTCAAATATACTGAAAGGAAAAAGAAATGCATGATAACGCGTTTGCAAAATATATTTGAATCTGTGACCGAATATAATAAAAACTGATCAGAGGTGGATATTGGTTACTATATATTTTGTAATTATTATACCCCCGCTTGAAAAGCGGGAGGGTATATAGTAATCGGTATTTCCGTCCGTCCGTCTGTTACGCTTTGGGGTACCCGTCTCTTATCCGCAACTCCTCTCATACCACTGAATGAAATTTGATGAAACTTTCACAGAATCTTTATTACATATTGCCATTGTGCACCTCCTATTTTACTTTTTGATCCGACACATATTTTGGGTTTCCCGGCCACAGGAAAACATGGACTTTTTCACCAGTTAAAACCATATGGGAGGCGGGGGGTATCATTTAGTGAGCTCATTGCTCACAGTACCTCTACTTTTTCTTTGTCATGTTGTGTTCAAAATTACTCAACCATGAAATGTACGATGTCAAGTAAAAAAAGTTGTAAAAAGTATTTTATAGTACCATCTGATGCAGTGGAGATATTGGCAACATTTTTACATATTAAATTTCTTGAAATCATGGAGGCTTAATAGGGTCTAGTAATTGAATTGACCAAGTGAAGGAAAAGGCAACAAAATGTCACTGTGCACTTTGTTTTGAATTTTTCAAGCAATGGACATTTTATAACTTGATGAAAGGATTTAAATAACCGTGACGATGACGTTGGCGCAAAACAACGTCACATCAAGATTGGGCTTTTCATCCTGCAACCTGTATCATGGCATAACCATTGAAACCAATATTATTACAGTAAACAATCATAATCGTTACACATCCCTCCTAAAACCGACAGACACTCATTGCTCTGTTTTGGTCTTTGAGGTCGATATAACTTTACGTCATTATTACTCTCATCCACACACGTATGCGTCGTATGCTCAGTTGTTTAGCCCCATCCCCCATGGGTGACTGAGTTTGTCAAGACTTTCTTGCAAGCACTAAATCCAGACACATTTGTGGTAGCTTTTGTTTGCTACAGAGATTCAGATAATAATTTGAAAGAAGATGGGTGAACAAGGCGAACGGAATGCCTAAAGTACGACAAACATGAACATTTCGGGAAAAAAGCTTGGGGAAAAGGCCATATATAGTCTAAAAGCACACTTTTATATATGTCTCAACCTTTGCAGTTCACCAGACAACCTGACCCTTGGACAATGTCATTTATAATAGGTACGAACAACTGACGAGGTCTGGAAAGAGAACTTCTGCCCAGATCATTTAACTGTAAGTAAAAAAAAACTTCTACAAAGGTAATGCTTGGGCAGAAAATATTTTGTCAAGGTCATTTTGATATGGTCAAGGTCTTAGGATTTAAGGTGAAAAAGTGAATCATCATTTATCTCATCACTCACATACCTTGTACTGGACGGAGATTTTCAGCCAATAATTTTATACACAAAAAATAAAAGTGGTTAATGCATGATAAAAAAATGAACGGATGTGATAGAAATACTAGTAGTAGTCTATCTATACTGACTAGATTAGGGCCTAATTAGTGTCAAAAAAATTCTTACCGAGAGATATATTTATCTTATGATATTTCTATGTAAATATAAAATTTTAAAAAAGTATACACGAAGACGTTTTAAAATAAAACTGATTTTCAAAAATTCCCCTATCAGTTCTTGTAAATACGACGTCGACACAAGATGAACAACTAGTACTTGTATCTGAAATCATTATAATGTATATACAATCCCTTATGTCAACTGCTTGAATAAAGATAAAGGAACTCAAGTTATGCTTGCAATACATTTAATGAACATGACTCTGAAAAAATGTTTTTACATTGAAAATTGCACACTAAAACATATACAATACACAAGAAAATCTCTCAATAGTAATAAAGGTAAAAAATAGAAATTAAAAATCAAATTATAGTTAAAATCTTGGACGATCATTTCGACTGGATCCCGATCCCGATCCAGATCCAGATGGACCTGAGGGACCATCAAACCTGCTACCACCCCTTCCAAAGTCGTTCCTGTTTGAGTCCCATTGATTTCCGCCAGTTCTTCGATTATCTCCTCTGCGATCAAATCCTGAACCACCTGAATTTCCTCTGTTGCTATCCCAGTTTCCTTGGCGGTCATCGAAGCGTGAACGAGAGCTACTGCGGTTACTGTCAAAGGATCCGCCCCTGTTGTTATCCCATCGGTTTCTGTTACGTTCGTTATCCCAGGAAACGCCACCCCTCGTTCTATCGAAAGTAATACTTCCACTTCTAGTTGTATCAACGTTCCTGCCGCCGCGGTTAGAGTCCCATTGGCCACCGCGTTCCATATTTCTCCCACGGTTGGTAAAGTCTCTGTTGTCCCAGCTTCCACCACGGCTGTTATCCCAGTTTCCACCACCACCACCACCGCGGTTGTTGTCCCAATTTCCACCACTACCACCGCCGCCGCCGCCACTGCGGTTGTTATCCCAGTTTCCTCTGCTACCACCGCGGTTGTTATCCCAATTTCCACCGCCACCACCGCGGTTGTTGTCCCAATTGTTCCCACTCCCACCGCGGTTGCTGTCCCATCTGTCTCTGCTGTTGCCGCGGCTGTCTCTTCGACAGAGATCTATGTCGCAGGCTGGACACCGTCTTCCTCTAACATACGTGTAATCCGATTGGCGACATTCTGGTGGAATGTAAATGCGTGGACAGTTTAGTTGTGGGCATTCGTCCCGGGTCTGCCACCCCGGAAATGTAGCTGTAACCAGTATAAAATTTAGTTTAGTGGATTTTTCACTTTTAAAAATGACAAAGGGATTTAAATAAAGTGTACCAACAAATGATGATACATATATACAAGAATGTATGCAGGTTTAGAAGGACTACATCATGTTGCAGAACCGTATTGTTACTTACACGATATAAAAGTCCACTTACATTTTTACGTAATAAAATATTTCATTTTAAAAAGGGTGTTATACAAAAAATCTTTTCTTTATTGGAACAGAAACCTAATTTATCCAAAAAAATCCAAAAAATCTTTAGAGAGGAATAATATCTTTACCTTCGCTATATCCAAGCCAGCATAGTGCCAGTAATGCTGGGATCAGATGCATCGTGTCTCTCTGTAGTGAAAGGGCATCCTCACTGGTGTTCTTTTATACCCCTCGATTACAGAGGTCATAATGCAAGGGAAACTTTTTCGAGACAAAAATAATATTAATTTCTGCTTGTTTCCTTATTTGTTTGTCTTTGATGGTTTCTCATAACCCTGATTTAATGCTTTTTATGTTTTTTCCGGTGTTTTCCATCAATCATGAGTTAGCACGTGTGCACATTTAATCTATAATGAATGAAACGAACAAATTGATATTTTATTACAAATGTAGACACTAGGAAGGGAATCATACTTTTGAACATTTTATGGTAATGACTTCTGATTCATCACATGCTTCAATCGGTTCCTGAGTTAGAGATTAAAGATATTCTTTAAAAGAAATACTCATCGAACAAAATCTGGGTGTTTTAGCTAAATATATTTAAAATGAACCAATGCTGTAAATATTTTCTTTTTATAGTCTTTTACTAGAAGGTAACATTAAAATATTTCTGACCACATTACAAAAATTTGTTCACCTCTGTCATTAAGTTTACACTTATGGGAATTTTAAATTAAAAAAAATTAAATCTTATTTTATTTATTTATTTTTTTTTTTTTGAGTTTTAATTGAAATGGAAACTCTTAATTGTGTTAAAGTGGTATTTTTTTGTCCCCCCCCCCCCCCCCCCCAATGTTCCTTGAAAAAAATTACAAAACAAAAAAGCGCGACAACCTCTAATTTCATGATCAAGAGTCAGGTTGATTTTCATTGAAATATATTCTCTCAAATATCAAATGTAAATGCTCATATGTCCCTCAAGATACATGAATTCAATTTATTGTCAATTTTATACCGTTATAATTTAAGTGGTTTATCTGTAATGTATTTAAACGTTTTAAAACTATATATATATATATATATATATATATATATATATATATATATATATATATATATATATATATATATATATATATAATATATATATATATATATATATATGTAAATAGATTACATTCATGAATAAACAAGCCACAGGTGCATGTTTATTGCTTTTCCTTCGCGTCGATGTACGTAAATATCTACCGTCATAACAAAATGTCAGACAAGGTGCTAAACGTTTAATGACGCGCACTAAATCACCATAATACATGTATATTTATACTAACTATGTAAAGTCTGTGTGGACATTTTTTTTCTATAATATTCAAGAAATTATTCAAGAAATTTAGAATTCCTAACATGTGAGCTCCCTCTTCCCCATCACCCCCAGTCCTTTTCATAAATTTAAAATTTTTTTTTCCTTCAGACATTTAATTGAATGCTTATTTCAAGAATAGAACCATGGAATAAGTAAAGATTACGTGTATTTTAAATAATAAAAATCTTAAAACATCAAACGAACCTTTATAAATATGCAATAAGAAAAGATGAAATACTATTATAGTTATGCGTAGAACAAAGAGGGAGTCATGATGCAAGAGCATTTTAGTTTACATTCCACTCGAAGGGAAGAAAGAGAGTTGATGGAGGGACGCAGTCAGTAGGAAGATACTTATACCTTGCATATATTATATAAATATTTTTTTGTAACATTGAAAATTTTCACCCCAATTGAAAACTATTGTCAACCGAGGCGCAGCCGAGGTTGACAGTGGTTTTCGTGTAAAATTTTCAATGTTACACTCAACTACATGCAATATTTATTATATTATACTGAATGTTTTATACAAATACATATAACAGTGAACAGTGCGCGCATAAATTCTGCGCAGTCGCTATTTTTTGGAATATCACCCGTTGTCAAGCAATGTTGACTGTTGCTACGCTGTGGGGTGTGGCTTCATTATTCAGCGGGTAATAGTGTTTTTTAACAAATGTTTCTCGACCAATGAGATTCATGTAATTTACATGAAAGTATAATATACTTACTTATATGATCGATACATGTAATTCTAGGGTACGTATATTAGGAATTTCCTTATTTTTCGCATAAAAATAGCTCCTTATGAAAAAAAAATATCAGACAAATTATCAGATAAAGAGAATCCAAAACTCTAATGATTTAATGGCAAGGTCACGTCACGCGAGAACTGCCATGGCTGCTGAGGAGAACGACGGGTAACCACGCAAATTTACCCCGGTTCAGTTATCAACAAATCAACTCAGCTAACTTTCAAACAGATATCACAGAGAAAAACAAATACAATTGGAAATACTAAAAACCATAATTTCTACGACAATGTGGACCATTTTTCTATACTCATATGTAGAATATTGACCAGATGGTCAAATCTACGCAGAAAAAAGTTCTCCGGTCAATATTCTACTGGGTCACTTTTCGTCGTTACACCGGAAGTGATAGTGACAAAGGTTCGAGATGTCAGAAACCACTGCTCATCAAGATCGTTACATAATACTTTTGCATTTTAGAAATCTAGATTCACTGGTATTGAAAAGTTATTTGTATATAATTGTGATAGATGGTGGATTTATTTAAATTCTGCAGTTTATTTCAAACAAAATCAATGGATCGATTAGTGTTTGAGATACATGAAAACAGAAATGCAAATCGGTCAACCGCAAAACGTACCAACCGATTAGTCGGTTAACCGTATGTATATATCAAAAACTATCGAAATAAGTTCTGTTAGAAAAAGAGACTTAAAATTTATACATTTAATACTATATATAATTTGAAATCACTAACTTTCTGGTGGATGTGGGTTTTATATTAGTTTTTAGGTATATAAGCATTAACCAATGAAAGCATGTTTCCGCGAAAGGTAAAATTTCATATACATATACGTGTACAACATCTTAATCTTATGAAGTCCTCGCAAGCCAGTATTTTTCCTGAAACCATGATAAATTCGACCCAAAGAATACATGTGATTTTAGAACATGCCTTAAGTATACAATACATTGAAATATTTTCAGAACAGATGTTAAGGAAGTTCATTCGGCATTGTCGACATAATAATTCAAAACTATAAGTCGGAGCTGTTGTTTTTTGGGTTGTTTTTAAATAATATTTTTAAAACAATATACATGTAATTTGTTAGGCAAAATTAATGCAAAGCATTAAATCTTAAGATCAAATTTTGACATAGATAATTAAGTATTATCTTATATTTTACCGGTACTTAATAATCTACCAAAACACATTATATTTAGATGAAGTCTGTTGAATGTCAAAATTATTCATTTGCTAACAGAATTTTTTGAAATTGTCCCCTGGAAAGATGTTAAATCTGCCCAAGTCCTCCGTATTGTTAAATTATATCATCTTTAAAAAATCTTTTAAAAAAAATCGTTTGCATCAAAGTATGATAAAGTATGGGTCTTTCTCAAGGTATACCTTTACTCAGATGACTAAAAATTCCACTGATAAGAACGAAAAGCCACCCATTGCACAATGTACAACTATGATTTAGGGAATAACCTTCTAATTTGGTATTTGCGACCGTTAATGCTGATTTAACGATCGCAAACTGAGTTTACCGGCGATGCGTAAGTGTTTTACAAAATAATTGCATTAGAATCTTGTGTTAATTTTCAATTTCAAATAACTAGGTCAATGACCTACTTTTCATGCTAGTGGCCCCTGGGTATTTTTCAGAAAATACCTCAATTTTTCACACTATGACCATTTTTTTCTTTACTCACAAAATATTACCTACAAGCAACACAACTGTTTAAATAATGAAATATTATAGCAATGGAACATCGTTGCGTCATGTAAAGAAATGATTAGAGTTTGGACCATAAACTTAATTATTATTACAGTCCGAATTTCCTCCGTCATATTTATATTTTTTCCCCATTTTTAAATGAATAATAAGAACTCTAAATTACTTATAGCCTTAGGTTACTTTTGTTGCCCTAATGCTCATGATATTAACGTTATATGGGGTCAATGATTAAATTTTTGAGATATATTGTCTAGAATGGTTTTTGCTTATATTTTTGAATTTCTTTATTTCATAGCACACAATTATATGAAATAATTTATGAGCTTTAACACATATATTTGCAAAATGATGTTTAAAAATATTGTAATTAATATTGCAAGAAATAATAAATTTAACAAAAACGAAAAAAATAAATATTTAGTCCGAATTTCCTCTGCATTGCCATACATTGAATTTTGTTCTTGTTTATTTTCTTTGAAATTAAAATATTAAATTGTCTAAATTGATATTGAGTGAAAACTTTGTTATTTTATCCATTTAGAACAATTTTTGATGTAACATATTATACTTTATAATATTTCCTTTCTGTTTTCTGAAACCTGAGTACACGTCATCCTTAAGGAGCAATAAGAACATTTAACATAATGTTCGGACAATTCAAGATCTCTTCAATACGATTGTATTCAGGAGCAATAAGAACATTTAACATAATGTTCGGATAATTCAAGATCTCTTCAATACGATTGTATTCAGAAAACAATGTAAACTTTTTAAAAATCTTCTTAGAACTTGTATACATCATCAAAAGTATATGCAAAATTTCAGACCACGCCAATCATGAATGCACAAGGCGCTGTCCATCCTATCGGATATATAACATCCTTATAAGTCATTTTATATAAAGAACCTTAATGTTTAAATTCATTCAAAAGGGAATATGTGTTTATAAAGGTTAACGATCCGTGCAGAGATGCGTATTTTTAAAGGTGAGATATATTATGTCGGTGAAAATAAAGCTTCCTTGCTTACATGCACAATGTTGACTGACATTTTTTTCTTCCCTTGGACAAATTAAAGTGTTTTATTTGAAAAATTAGGTACTTTACAATATAAAAATTCGTTAACTGTTTGAACACAAAAAAATTAATCACTTTTAATCAAAGAAATATTTTTGTATAAATTTATTTAAATTACATATGAAAGAATTTTATGTAATGGACAGTAATGAAGACTTTATCCAATGATAGGGCCAAGATTAATATGACCAAGATGACTAGATTGACGGTGGGCAGATCCTACACACTCTCTGCATGTGAAAAAGTTGTCTGGATCCAGCTTATGTTTGATGTCCAAAAGACGCTTGTAATTACTGCCCCAGAATTCCTGTTGCCAATGGACGACGTCCATCCCTGCTTCATTTGGATATTGACCGTCACCGAATGCGCTCAGCTGTTCGCCGACTATGGCGCCCCTTTGTGGAAGGCCGTCATAATCTAACAACCCCGTATCCCAACCTATGGAAGCAGACAACGACATCAATGCTGTTCTAAATCCAGGATGAACAGAGGTTTCGTGTGCCCCAACTTTCATCATTTCTCCTAAGAAAATATTTGAAGAAAAAAAACTAAGAATCTTAAAAATATAAAAAGCATTGAAATGTTTTCCGTACAATTTTACGTTTTGTTTTACATTCATATATCTATGTTTTGTAAGAAAAAAATTGAATGAGTTTTATACGAATATATTTTGCTTCTAGGATCAAAGAGACAAACATTTTATTAAGTGAAAAATCTACTGAGTATATTTTTTTTACCTCCTAGAAGTGTTCCTGTGAAGGAGAATGAACTGACATTTGTATGCTCGGTTTCTAGTTCATTTACGAGGAACCTTACCAAATTGTCGTCAAAACTATCACTTTGTAAAAGAGTGTTCGTTATATATCCTGCGTAAAACAAAGGGTCTTTGGCTGTAACTTCATAATCAAGGAAAGTTGTACGATTAACGTAAAAGCAAAAATTTTGCCATTCTTTGTGAAAATTAGCTAACTGGTCCATGTATGCCCGTGTGGTCGAAGCGAACGATCCATAGTGGTTGAAACCTACTATAACGTTTCCCCATTTTCCACTGTCTGAGGGAACGCCACTGGCTATCACATACCCTCCCCATTCTTTTGGCAAATTTTTAATCAAGGAAAATATTTTTTGTAAAACGGTAAATCCGATGTGCTGTCCGTTTGCACGAATTAAGGGGTATCCACACACAAACTGCACCACCTGAGGGGCGGCATGGTGCAGTTTGTAGGTGAATTTGGTCGCAATGCCAAATGTTCCTCCTCCGCCACCTTTCGAGGCCCAGAAAGTGTCCGTATTGTCTGACGTGGTTACACTGCCATTCAGGTGCGTGGTTTGGGTCATATGGTCGTTGGCCAGTATGATTTCGCCATTTGCCGTGACAAGTTCTAGCTCCAGTAAGTTGTCTACCGCCATACCAAACATCCGGGACATTGGACTATGGCCGCCACCCAGAGTGTAACCTGCCATGCTGACTGTGTGAGCACTTCCACCAATAACCACCCTATTGTACTTATCAACCTGAAAGAGGCAAAATCTCATTATAACTGATCATGAAATGGGGATAATTATATCGTCAATATTTGTATTATTAAAATGGTCTCTTTAACATTTCTTTGTATACAGATGAATGGTTGCAACAAAACAGAGGAAACTTTTTTTGTGTTTTCTTTCTGTATTATTGCAACCCTTCATCTCCGTCAATCTCCCATGCAAAGTAACCGTTTACTCCTCTCGCAGAAACTTCGATCTGTTATTGGCTTACGTCAAGATTTTTGACAAGTCACATAACGTATAAAACGTGATATTTGCAGGATTGTTTCAAATTAAACTAATAGTTCTGGATTGATTTAGCAAATATCTATCTCAAAACTCGGACATAAGCTTAGGAATTGAATTATGATGATTAAAAACAAACGCACTATTTATCGTGTTTATGTTGTACGCGAGCCAATGACAGATGAATGTATGAGCCGATGGTATACTTCATAAAGAGTGTATAATTTTAAAATATTTTAATTATATACAGTTTATGTATAATTGAGACCACTTTATGTGACACATTACTCGTATATTCAGTTTTTGGGATTTACCTCTTCATAAACTTTCAACCACGTGTTTCCGCTTTCACACGTGATCTCGCCAGCGGGATTTCTCGTGGAAGCCATATTGATTTTGGTTGCATTCATACCCCCAAGATAAATCATCAAACTTCCATGTGCAGTGGATCGGCCTAGGAAATCGTGGCCGGAAGTTTTGACGGAAACCAGCAAATTGTGTTTGCGAGCGAAGAGAACGCACTTTTGAACATCAGCTGTGTTCTTTACTTTGGCAATGGCGAAAGGGAATTTCGTATATATGGTCTCTCTCTGCACAACAAGTTCATCGTATTCTGGCTGGTGTGGAAAATAAAGATTTCCTTCCAGAGATTCTAAGAATTTTATCAACTCAATATTTTTAGGAAAACAGCTCTCGTCTCCAGGTAGACATCGATTAGACATTGAAAAACACGCGCTGATAAGCACAGCCAACGTTAAACTCTTCAAAGCAGACCTTCAATATAAAAAAAAATTAAAAAATTTAAATCGGATCATTTAGTAAATAATTGCGAAAAATACATGTATTTATAGATAATATATTCGTCTTGCACAACATGCGCATTAAAAAATTGATGCTTGGGAAGATTAGACGTTCATTATTTTGGTCATTACTGAAATCATGTCTTCAAATATCACCCTCGGTTAGATCCTCCAATGTTATGCATTGATATCACAGTGTTTCTATTTTTTTATCGTACTCTCCTACTCGATCATTCTCCATATATATTTCTCTATATTTTGTAAGGATCATATGCCCCCCCCCCCCCCCCCCCCAAAAAAAAGGGGGGGATAAAATGTTCATTGGAGTACCAGAGAAACAAAAAAAAAAATGATCACAATTAGAAGAGTATAATTAGGAAAAACGTATTTTGTGTTTGTCTGGGGAACATGGATTTATTATACTCTATGCACTCATTGTGGTAAATTAATTAATTTTAAAAAAAATATGCATATGCATGAATGATACTTACGCTGGATGCATCCTCACGGTCTTCCTGTGTTGCCGATCACTTTGAATTCTTAATTTTACTTAAATGGTGTCATATATATACAAGTACTATATAAACAGGGTAGTTGGCTACATCGGTATTTTTGACATTTATAACAACTACGTATCTTTTATATGGACTTGAATTCTTCAGATAAGCTCTCCTCATTACACGGTATATTTTGCAAGAACTAAAAAAGGGTTAATAAACGGACCGATATTTTGTGTAAGATTAGATACATTAAATTGACACCCCCCCCCCAATAGTCAGGGTAGATTTTTGATGAAGCTGAAAGGCAAAATTTCAATATGTTAATTAATGTTTTAGCTACTCTTTAACCGTTTTGAGTTCAGAAATATATTTGATTTTATTAAAAATCGAGAATCAACAGTAACTTGCTTTTAATGCATGTATAGAGTTGAGTCTTCAAATTACTAGTATTTTTTCCACATGATCACTGTTTATGTAACTTATCAATGATAATGATCTAATGAATACTCCAAGATTCATGAAATAATAAATTTCATTTAAGAAATAAGAACACTAAAACCTCTGTTAGACAGCTCATGGTGAAGGTTTAACTTTCTTACTTGCAAGGCAAACTGTAAGTAGAAAGACAACCAAAGATATCAAGCTTTAAGAGAGAAGCAGTCAAATGAAAACTCACAGACAAATCCCAGCAGCAGGCCTTTCATTCGGGTTTGAAAATGAAGGAGTGAGTTGTACAGAACTTGTTTCCAATACTTTGATTGACTTTGATTGACTAAATAAAATTTGTTCAAAACAAAAAAAAAACATTGATGCAAGTCATAATCCAAAGTCCAACGTGTATCCAGAGAAAGGTCGTATCACAAGGAATGTACCTGTAAAATTTGAAAGCTCTAGTACTAGCTGCTCAAAAGTAATGACCAAGGTTAAAGTTTAAAAAAGGGGTCAAACTCTAAGGTCAAGGTCAAAAGGTGAAAAATATTTATACCCATTGAAAGGTCTTGTCACAATAAATTCACATGTGAAGTATGAAAGCCTGTTCAAAACGTCATCGGTTTGACCAAGGTTAAAATTTTGATGCTTTTAGTAAAAGTGGGTCAGACTCCAAGGTCAAAGTCAAGAGGTCAAATTTGATGGTATAAGGAATACACTTGTGAAATATGAAAGTCATAGTCACAACCATTCAAAAGTTATGGGCAAGGTTGATGTTTTTCGGACAGACAGCCAGGCAGACGGACGTACAGAGCCAAAACTATATACCCCATTATCTTCGAATATGGGGGCATAAATATGGGCGAAGTCTACACTAATAGATGAGATATTGGCTAAGTAGACAATGGAGACTTCTTAGACAAAAAAAATAATAATTCAACAATTACATGTACATTGAGGTTTCAATGAAAAGGATAGATACTGTACAGAATAAGTATCATTTAGACTATAGTGTCAGGTTCTAAACTTTCACAACAATATTGAAACCGTCATCAATGCCGCTTTTTCGGCCCTAAGGAGTCCTATATTTGTGATTTGATAAGATATTGTTGCTACATTACTGATTCTCTAGGAGAAGTTGCAGAATTAAACTGATTAAAGAGTCTTTTCTTTTTCATGTTTTTCTTGCATCAAATGTTACCAAACTGTGAATAGCTTAAAATCAACAATGAGATTTAATCACGTGGCAATCCAATTTAACTCATTACCCTTCTATATATAATATTTAAAGGGATAATCAATGTTATTAGAATTTGCATCTGCCTCGGATTTCAAGGTGATTTTGAATTGTATCATCTGTACTATAATCTTTATAGATAATCTTAGAATATAATAAAATGCAGTCTTAGTTTCGTGATTTTTTATGTCGACTGAATGCCCCCTTCCACTCCCTTCCCCCAAGCAACTACATTTACTTATTTTTCTCTTCTGAATCTACCGTAAAACATTTATTTTAAAATAATTATGATGACCCCGCCTTCTCCATAACTTCAGTACTTAAATTAAAAAAACTCTATAATTGATTGGTCTAATAACTAACCAATTGACACCCCATTCAGAAAGATCCTGTAAAGGCGGTTGTGTTACACTATACACCAGAGGCGATTTAGTGAACACCAAATCGTCAGTAGAGTAAACCAAATACTAGTAATACATCAATCAAATCCTTTATGGCCAGAAACATGCACACCAACGATAAAAGGAATTAGAATCATTTAGTGACATGTTCACTATCGATATGTTTTTTTTTTTTAAATTCATAAGTTTTATACTCATTGTCATACAAGAACAAAATAAAATTTGCAACCTATAAGTGAATAATAACGTAGGGCTTTCATTATGTTTTAAGTCTTATTAATTACCAATAAAAGTTGCAAAACAATTTTAAACTGAAAATCTGACATTCACATACAATATATAAATAGGAATGGGAAGCGCCCCTGGCACTTTTGGTGGTTCCATTGCTTTTTTCTTAGCGTAAACGTTTTGTATGCGTTGCAAATTTCTATGGTTTATTTCATGATTATAAATGAACAGTTATGTTTCTTTTGTAAATTTATTTTTCAAGAATGTTCAAAATCATAATAAGAAATTTTTGGTTGAGATTTAGTTTTAATCTTACTAACCAGAACCGTAAAATTTGGCGATAATAGTAATGTCAGACTTAAAACACTTACTTTTTCATAATGTTTCCGTATATAAAGTTTTCTACGACATCTACGTGGTAAAGTTTTGTAAGGCAGAAAAATTAAAGTAAAAAAAAACAACAAGAAACATATTGACGCAAGCGTCAAAAATCGGCCGCAAACAAATTACTAGTAATTATTCCTTTGATAAAGTAATTCGAAACTGAAATTTGCGTGATCTGTTTTTAAAATTTCTTATATTTATCTGTTAAAATATCCTCGTAACATGAAATACTTGCATGAGACATTGTCGATTTTCTTCATGCAAAATACATGTACAATTATATTATATGTGTAAGCAAACTGCCCATAGACCTCTGCGTCCGTACAAACGAATTTGATGTTTAAGTAATTATTACATAAAAGTACAAAACTAAAGTTTAAACTTAGCTATAGTTTTACTTTAATTTGAACGGAACAAATATGAAATATGTGGGACTCTCTTAGAGGATTTTAACAACCCCCCAAATCCATCTACCGGTAGATCCACCACTACATTTCTTCTTTCAGTCTCTTTGTTTTGGTGTTGAGATGTGGCGGGAAAATGCTTGGCACATTGTAAAAACGCGCTTTACCCTAGTCTCATGGACAAAATTGTCGAATGGTTCTGTGCTTTTAAGAAATCAATATTTCATAAAATTTTTGAAAAATTTCCATAGGAAATGTATAAATATACACGGCATTTTAAAATAAGTACAACAAATCCTGTCTATAGGCTGTTTAAAAAGAGAAAGTAAAATTGTTGATATACAATGTGGTCTTGGTTTTAGACTATGCCTACATAAGACACTTTGTGCTAATTTTCTCCGCACTTCAGTATTGTCAGAGTTTGTCAATCAGGATTGGATGAAATATTTACCCAATAAATGAATTATTTATAAAAAATTTATTTTATGATTATTGTGCTTTTTGTTAAACATTTAGAATATCTTTGTTCAATATTCTATACTATGAATGTTATTAAATATTTTTATTCAAATTGTTTTAACTCCGCAGAAACGCTTGTTCTAACTCCGCAGAAACGCACGGCGACTTAAAACTTTCATTAGTCAGCCCCCGGGCTGACTAGTTATGGTACGAAGAACTTCAAATGCGCTTGCGCGTTTTGGAATTCTGGGAGGTAGTTCTGCAGCAAATAACTCTAGCTAATTTCATTTCAGTAAAATCAGTATAGATTAAACAAAGAAATCCCTATTTAACACCACGGTAATCTGTAAATTTAAATTCAGCTTAAATAAGAAAGTCATTTATGCTTATTTATTTCTAGAACCGTTCTGTACAATCATACTTCACAGTTTTTAAAACCTCGTTCGCAGTAATTAAACTGGTTCGCATCTGATCGTGAAATGTGTTCTACGCAGTTAAGCATACAGTTGTATGAATTCATATCGCACAGTGTTTGACGCGTTAATTGAAGGTCTTTTGTAAAGTATGTTGAAGATATTTTTATTTATGTATTTAAATCTACGACATAAACATTGGTTTAATAGAGATTTTGAAGTTTTTCAGTTTTTATTAATTTTACTTTCGTTTTCATTAATAACATCATTTCGATCCCGATGCAATTTAGTAAACTGACTTGTTAGCGCATACAACGGATACTTCGAGAAGAGACACAACTGGCTGAGCTTGCTCGTTTGTAATGTCCCCCGCTGGAAGTGGAGGATATTATTTTATTTCGGTCTGCCTGTCCTTCCGTGCCCCTGTCTGTAGTTCTGTCTGTAACACTTTCAATTTCTTGAAATATTTCGAGAAGCCCTTGAGCTTTTGTTGTGAAATTTTACACAACTTACTATGGAAAACCCCTCTTGATTTTGAGGTAAAAATGTCAATGGTCAAGGTAATGAAATCAAAATTATGTCTGTTTGAACACTTTTGTGTCCGTGCAATATCTCGATAAGCCCTTGAGCTTTAGAAATGAAATTTTCTAGCACAACAACCTATGCTGAAAGGAAGACACCTATAGATCATCGTGTTGTTTATTTTGTTTCAATTCTACTTTTTTTAAGTTTCAAGTTTAAATTCAGCTAGCTAGGTCAAATTAAAGTGGTGATAGTTAACAAACTTAAATAAAAAATACCCGTGTCTTAAATTATGCAAAGATTAGGCTAAACAAAGCTTACATGTTACCTGTTTGAATGAAATTTTTCTAATTTAAAAGTACTAGAAAATGTACGTACTTGTTACATGTATTTAAGTGGCACTTTATTGATATTCTCAATTAAGGATTCAGTATGGCTGTTACTTTATCGCAGGGGCAAAGGTGTCTTTGTTGTCTAAACACAGTTGCACTGAGTGATTCAACCTGCAACATGACAACTCTAACAGGGTGATAGTAAAGCTTACGAGGTTTGGTGGCCGCGGGATTGTTAAAACTGCTATGTCCTCTATCCTCATACATTAAACTCCTTTAGATCCGATGAGATTGGTTTATAATTTCATGGAATTATGTTTTGTGAAATTGAACTTAAATTTTTATTACACTATATCTGTCTTTTGATTAAGAGACAAAACATGCAATACCGGTATAATGCATTTTTTTCAGTACCGTAGTACATGTATTCTTCAAAACACTATCACAGATAAGAAAAATCCACTGGCTGACTCTCTAAGCTTTTTTTAAAAGCTAAACTTGTATCAACTAATAGACTGGCCTGCCTGTCTGATATCCTATAAATATACAGACAGGTGATCAGTAATGTAAAGAGCCCTCTACCGGCCGCGCTCATTGGCTGATAAAAACTCTTGCTGACGTAGAATTTAAATACCTCGGGGAAACCAAAACAGATCATAGAGTGCTATATTATGGATGATTATCGTTACCTCGAGTTTTCTTTGCGTACGAAAATTGCATTGGCAGAAATAAATTGTGAAAGGTATTCAACATTAAATTTTCTAAAGCCTTTGCAAGGAAGAAGTATTAAAAGTGCTTTGAATAACGATACCGTGGTTGTTTTACCGACGGGCTACGGAAAAAGTTTGATTTACGAGTTGCTGCCCAAAATATATGATACAAAGATTGTAATTGTTTCACCACTGAATTCCATCATAGAGGAACAATCCGCAAAATTAGGAGACAGGGCAGTAACAATAGATGGGAAATTAATACAGGATCTTGAGAGAGAAAAGTATGGTTCTCTCTCTCTCTCTCTGTCTCTCTCTCTCTCTCTCGCCATGAGACTCTTTAAAAAATAATTACCAAGTATTTATTTTTATTTCAGAATCAAGCCAAGAATCTGAAAACGAGAGAGTTTAAAGATTTTTGGATGGAAATGCCGTTTACATCATGGGACACCCAGAATTTATTATGGAAAAAAAGGTGCGTCGATTTACCCAAATGGACCCAAATGGACCCAAATGCGACCCAAATGGACCCAAATGGACCCAAATGGCGACCCAAATGGACCCAAATGGACCCAAATGGCGACCCAAATGGACCCAAATGGCGATCCAAATGGACTAATAGAAGACTCAGAGATACTCTGAATCATATTTTAGTAAAATAGTAGTACGTGCAAAAGATTTTAACCGATAAGAAAAGGGTTGTTAGCCGTTATTTATACAGACACGTTGTATATAACATCATGGGAATCTCAATTCATTTGACTTGCTTATTTACCAATCAGATCAGTAGTTATGTTTTCATTCTATAATTGGTAAAATTATCGTCCTATAAAAACATTCTAACTTTCAATAAAGAGGTCGTTAAGGCTCTGTAATTATAGAATTTGATTCTATTTTATAATACGTTATAAGAATTTAAAGCCATATATGGCGAATGTACAATGAAAATTATTAGACTAAAATTATAAGAACTTATTTTTTGTATCATAACTTTATATAAAGATAGAACTTTTCCGTAAATTAAAAAATCTAAGTCAATTGCGTTACAAAGATATCACAATTTAATTTGGATTCTCGTAATTTTCTCTGACTATGAAGAAAATACAAAATATTTAAATAACACACTACAGAGAAGATGAAATCGTATTATTAGTTGAATCGAGATGTTCTCTGTGTACATAATTTTACTATAAGTTTTAATTCAAATGTATTAAAACTATATTTCTTTACTTAATTTTGTATTTTTCAAAAATATATTTTTTGATCATTTACGCCGGTTTTAATAATTGAGCTTATAACTTAACTACTTATTTAAGTCATAAAAAGAATTTCAAAATTTAAAAAAAAACAAAATTTTATAAGGTCTTGTTTTTGTAGAATGACTGTTAACATTCACTATATAACACTTAAACTCTAAATAATTCTACAGGAAAAAAAAACTTACCTTTTTGATCCGCTCCATCCCCATAAGAAAATCGAACTTCCCGTCATCGGAACGACACAAAACACACACATAGTCCTCAGGAATTTCCGAGAATAATTTTAAGTCATCAGCTGATAGGTTTTCACAAGCACTGTGAAACCATTTGTCACACACTACACAAAACACACAAGAATTGACACAGTTTTTTCTGCAACCACCACATGGCCACTCGTTTTTCTTCTTCTGCGCTTGTTTACGCACCATTGTGGGTACTGCAATGCACAAATTCAAAATGTTCAAAAACCTCATACAAACGATACAGTATATATATATATATATATATATATATATATATATATATATATATATATATATATATATATATATATATATATATATATATATATATATATATATATATATATATATATATTCTATATTTTTCATTTTTTATTTTCTAATCCTAAATGATAGAAACAATTTTAAACGTAAAGTTAAAATCGTATTTTTAGATGAAACGAGGTGTTCCCCGTGTTAAGAATTGAATGAAAAGCTTTAATTTAAATGTATCAACTTTATTTATTTACTTAATTTTTTATCTTTCAAAAATATATTTTTTTCAACAGTTACTCCATATATGGCTTTAATTTTTCATTTTATTATGATGGAATATAATGATATAATTACACATTAAGTAATTATGACACTTACCTTTAAACAGCAACTTCATTAGTTGAAAATGCAGCAATTGAAAAATACAGTGTTTATATAATCATTGGATCTCATCATTAAGTTCTCAATTGTATCGAAATATCTGAAAGGTCCATCCATTCTAAAGAAGGTCATTGGTTAGTAAAGTAATTATTTACTCAAAAAAAAAAAACTTTGTGAAACTCTTCCTGATTGGAAAGCGTATTTTTTTAAATTTCATATTCAAAATATCTGAATATCTGAATAAAAACAAACACACACACTCATAGACATTTTCCTTTAATTTAAATTAACAATATTTGTATTACAATGCAAAAATATATAATTCTATATATGTATAAGTGTATGTAAGTCCATTTGGATCGCCATTTGGGTCCATTTGGGTCCATTTGGGTCGCATTTGGGTCCATTTGGGTCCATTTGGGTAAATCGACGAGCCGTGGAAAAAACAATTTGTAAAATTCTTCGAAATAAATACAAGGATATAGCACACATTGTAGTTGACGAGGCTCATTGTGTTGTGAGCTGGGGGCACGATTTTCGACCACAATTTTCACAAATATCAAAGTTTAGGTCCCTCTTTCCAAATGCTAAATTCGTAGCCCTGACGGCCACTGCAACGGTTAAAATGCAAAAAGAAATTGCAGAGAATTTATGCATGTCCAAAAATTTCCACACAATTTCAAGTAATACTATTCGCGCCAACATAAAACTAAATGTCTCCAAAAGGTGTGCATCAACAGGTGGAAATTACACAGCAGAAGAATCCTTTGAAACATCTTTGAAACCAGTGATTTCTGAGCTCTGTCTACAATTTCAAAACTTTGACAGAACAATTGTTTACAGTAAGCTTAAATACTGTGCTATGGGCTTTGAGCTAGTAAGAAGGGAGGCAATGAAACTATCCCTTGAAGATGTTTCTCAAGTGATGAATGCAGTTTCACAATATCATGCACCAAGCACCACTAAGGTATTTTAGAACTAGTTTTTATTTTAATTCACATAAAAATGAACACATTTAAAAAATTCACTTTAGCAATTAAATATACATATTTTCCCAAATTATTTGAAGATGAAGGAGAAGACAGTTCACAAAATGTGTGACCCCTCTAGCCAACTGAAACTTCTATTTGCTACAGAGGCATACAGCATGGGAACAGATGCACCAAATATTCGGCGAATCATACATTTTGGTCCCCCATCATCACTGGAAAGTACGTTTATCTTAAAAACATAATTGTATATTATTCAACTACATGAACAAATATATAACAGATAAGTAACTATATTAACAATTTCTTGTTAATCAGTATGATTCTTGATTACAGCGTACTTGCAGGAGATAGGAAGAGGTGGGAGAGATGGGGCCCAGTGCATCGCAACTCTGTTTTATAACGCAAGTGACATAGGAAGCAACGTCAAAAACATGAAAGAAGAAGTCAAACAGTTTTGCGCGCTAAAAACATGCAGGCGAAAATTTCTTACTGACCACTTTGGATTTTCTTATGAACAAAATATGACACCGCATACATGTTGCGATGTTTGTGAGCTAAAATGCCAATGTGACAATTGTATTGTCGCCATTGCTGATAAAATAGAAAATGACGTAGCAATGGAATCGCAAGCATCAAGTCGCAAAACTAAAAATTCTACATTACTTGTCGAAGTTCTAAGAGCATATTTTGATGCTGAAAACAGTCAACTGGATATTCCAAACCCAGATGTATTTACTAAGTCCTTGTTAACAGATCTTGTCAATTCAACTGAAGATTTTGTAAGTGAAGATTGTTTAAAGCAGAAGTTTAGTCACTTGCAACCTCATTTTTTGAGCAACATATATGAAATTATACAGAACGTAAGTGAAATCTAATTAATTTCCATATTCAACGGAAAACTGGAGCTTTTTATTTTCTATCCAACGGTGGTAGTTGGTCACATTAATATTTGTAGACGAGGAAGCCTGGATATCGGAGAATTGTTCGTGTTGGCGCCCTTCTTCAAACGAAAAAGGTCTAACCTCTCTCAGTTCATTTAGAATTGCCATTTCGTCACCAATAGCTGATTTGTCGGAATGTCGTTTTGATCTTTCGACAACACCTGAGATTTCATCATAATGCTCAGCAATTTCTCTGATGCTTGATATGGCACTAGACCTGTTCCTAACATTTCTTTCTGTTTTGTTGGAGAACATATGCTTTATATGTTCTTTTATTTGTTTAACTAAGTATTCCATCCTCCTGTCTGCGGGAATATGTCCGTTTACTTGTCCTGATGTATTGACAAATAAACCGTAAAATTCTTCGTTTGCAGCTTTCTCAGACAGGATACACGTTTGATGTACAAGTAATCTCATTATTTCATATGCATATTTTGATAGATTGTTGTTACTTTTAAATATAAACATGGTATTTCTTAGGAGACAGAGACCCCGATCTCGATTCGGCATTTTACAGACTCTGCAAACTAGTTTTGTTTATTAGAATTGACATATTTAATTACCGCAGGAAACATAAATCGGTTTAAAGTTCCCCACTGAGTCAGCAGATCGCTTTATTGTGTGATTATTTCCCATGCTGTATCGTAGAGCAGCGGCGATAGATGGCGCGTCACTCAAGCCAGGAATCCCTGGCTTTAATGGCGGTGATCACCTGTCTTTTCGTGCGTACGCTAAAGACAGGCAATACCAGTCTAATCAACTAACCGACCGCCTCCTGGCGGCCGGTAAAAAAGAAAGAGAGGGTAAGAAAGAGGGAGAAAGTGATGTGAGAGAAATTGTGACGGGAGAGGGAGACAGAGTTAGGGAAAAAACGAAAGGGAAACTTTTCCCTTTCTTTTTACCTGCCCTAATCCTATGTCTCCTGGACTCTCTACTACTATTTGGAGTCGGGAGATACTCCTGTTTGGAGTGGGAGAAGATAACTCTCTCAGGGCCGATTTCATTTGTCACTGATCGGCGTACGCCGAATTGCGCCGGTCATATGACCGGCGTAAAACGGCTAAGAGGCAAATGAAGTAAACCGGCGAAAACATTTTTTAGAAATGAATAATTACGCTAAATGATAATCAATTAATTAAGTTTTATCTTATTTTACATTATGTCTTAGTAGAATAATTCGAAATTCAATTTTCAAAAAAACCATGGACTTCATAAAAATTTTATTTTTCAGAAAATAAAAACATATTTTAAATATATGAATAGAGATTTGCTCAAAATATGCAAACAAATAAAGAACATGTCGATTTGGTAAAAAGTATCTGCATTTTCACAGGTGTTTTCTCTTCCCGCCATATTTCTAAGACCGGCGATTTCCTCGCCGGTCATTTCAGACCGGCGCATTCGGCGTACGCCGGCGAACCTTCCCCGGTCAAATGAAGTAACAAGCCGGGTTACGAAAGGTCAAGCGGCGCATTCGGCGTACGCCGGTATGACAAATGAAATCCTACCTCATACTCCTCTCTTGATAGTGGGGAGAGAGATAAAAGATAGTGTGTGTGGGGGGAGAGAGGAGAGAGAGAGGGAATGTGGGGAGAGGTGAGAGAGGGCGGGGGGAGAGAGAGAGAGAGGGGTGGGGGAGAGAAATAGAGAGAGAGTGGGGAGATAGGATAGAGTGGGGAGTTAGGAGAGAGAGTGAGGAGCGTGTGAGGAAAGACAAAAAATATAAAAATTGTAAATTTAACAAGTTTTTAAGTAAAAAACATAACAAAACAAATACATGTATGTACTGATCAAAATCTGGAATAGGGGTGGAGGTTGAACCGGACACTGCAAACATAAAAACACAGTTCATTATACACTACTAGGCTATACACACACACATTTTAATGTCATTTATACTGTTGTACTCTTATTCTAAAACAAATTTGGACTTATGTATATTGTACTTTGAATTATACAAGAATTTTCATCGATTGATATTTTTCAAAATTGTTTTTAAATTCGGTCTGTCTGTCCGTTAAGGGTCAAGGTCATAAATAAAAAAAAATCTATCTGTTTCACCTATATATTAAATTTGAGGTCAAAGTCGTAAATTCATACATTTTATGTGTGTGAAACTTTCATTTATGGGCGATATCTCAAGAACCTTTTTTGCAATTAAAAGGTTTTGGCAATTAAATTTTATACCATTACTCCCTCTGCCCCCCCCCCCCCTTCCTCCTCTATCACGAGAAGCCTTTGAACTTTTAAATCAAATTCTACACAACTCCTTATGGCCTAAAGAAGATGCCTATTGATTTTTTTAAGTCAAAAGGTTTAGTAGAGGGTAAACTAGACACACTTGTTCTTTTTGTCCCCCGCTTGAAAAGTGGGGGATATTAATTTGGGTTTGTCCGTCCGTCCGTCCGTCTGTCCGTCCGTCCGTCCGTCCGTCCGTCTTTCTGTCTGTCTGTAACGCTTTCGTTTCCACACGATATCTCGAGAACCCTTTGAGCTTTTGCAATGAAATTTAGCATAGCAACTCCCTATGGACTAAAGAAGACCCCTATTGATTTTGAGGTCAAAAGGTCAAAGGTCAAGGTCATAAATAAGCAAATTCTGTCTGTTAAAACACTTTCGTTTCCACACGATATCTCTAGAACCATTTGAGCTATTGCAATGAAATTTTACATAACAACTCTCTGTGGCCTAAAGAAGACCCCTATTGATTTTGAGGTCAAAAGGTCAAAGTTCAAGGTCGTAAATTTATACATTCTGTCTGTGTGTAACACTATCATTTCCGGGCGATATTTCAAGAAGATTTTGAGCTGATGCAATGTAATTTTATACCAAAACTCCCTAGGACGTCTCTCGCCCCTCTCAAAGTGCCTCGCCCCGTTTGTTTTATTAGTATTTATAGTATTACATGTCGCTATTTTTAGCGCAGGGGCATGAGGAGAGTTATTGCGTATAAAACAGGTTCTCGGCGGACTTTATGTTCTTATTACATCTATTATAACTGTTTAATAAAGGCTAAATAAATCAAACACCATGGATTGTGTAAAATTTTGAGAATACCGAACATGAAAACATGAATATATACATGTATGTGACTTCAGTTCTGCATATACTTCAGTCTGTGTAAAGCGACTCCGTAGTCTAGTGGTTAGGTCTCTCGCTTCAAATGTGAGAGGTCCCGGGATCGAATCTCGGTCGGACCATTATTTTTTTCTTTTTTTTTTTTAAATACTTTTTTTTTTTTAATAAATGATAGTATTCAGCATGTGAAATGAAAAATTTATGAGGTTATAAAATCATCATTACAGTGTGATAAATATTCCATGTGAAAAAATCTTCTATACACATAATAAAGAATAAGCAATCAAATCTTTATATGCATATTGACATACATGTATTTTATTTCCTTCAGTATACATGTATACATTTAATAATTCTACAAATTCAGTCAGGGGGAGCCGACTTTTTCCCTAAGCGGGGGACACGAATTCTCTGAATTAGCTTGTTGTCCCCCGCTTGAAAAGTGGGGGATATTAATTTGGGTTTGTCCGTCCGTCCGTCCGTCCGTCCGTCTGTCCGTCCGTCCGTCCGTCTTTCTGTCTGTCTGTAACGCTTTCGTTTCCACACGATATCTCGAGAATCCTTTGAGCTTTTGCAATGAAATTTAGCATAGCAACTCCCTATGGATTAAAGAAGACCCCTATTGATTTTGAGGTCAAAAGATCAAAGGTCAAGGTCATAAATAAGCAAATTCTGTCTGTTAAAACACTTTCGTTTCCACACGATATCTCTAGAACCATTTGAGCTATTGCAATGAAATTTTACATAACAACTCCCTGTGGCCTAAAGAAGACCCCTATTGATTTTGAGGTCAAAAGGTCAAAGTTCAAGGTCGTAAATTTATACATTCTGTCTGTGTGTAACACTATCATTTCCGGGCGATATTTCAAGAAGATATTGAGCTTATGCAATTTAATTTTATACCAAAACTCCCTAGGACGTCTCTAGCCCCTCTCAAAGTGCCCCGCCCCGTTTGTTTTATTAGTATTTATAGTATTACATGTCGCTATTTTTAGCGCAGGGGCATGCGGAGAGTTATTGCGTATAAAACAGGTTCTCGGCGGACTTCATGTTCTTATTACATCAATTAAAACTGTTTCATAAAGGCTAAATAAATCAAACACCATAGATTGTGTAAAATTTTGAGAATACCGAACATGAAAACATGAATATATACATGTATGTAACCTCAGTTCTGCATATACTTCTCTCTAAGTAAAGCGACTCCGTGGTCTAGTGGTTATGTCTCCCGCTTCAAATGTGAGAGGTCCCGGGATCGAATCTCGGTCGAATCTCTCTCTTTTTTTTTTTTTTTTTTTAATACTTTTTTTTTATTAAATGATAGTATTCAGCATGTGAAATGAAAAATTTATGAGGTTATAAAATCATCATTACAGTGTGATAAATATTCCATATAAAAAAATCTTCTATACACATAATAAAGAATAAGCAATCAAATCTTTATATGCATATTGACATACATGTATTTTATTTCCTTCAGTATACATGTATACATTTAATAATTCTACAAATTCAGTCAGGGTGAGCCGACTTTTTCCCTAAGCGGGGGACACGAATTCTCTGAATTAGCTTGTTTAAATATAAAATTTTGACAATAGAACGTGATGTAAACATGTATATACGATATGTTTGTGACTTATTGTTTAGATTTAATTCACGGCTATGTTAAGTTCATCGATGGCCGAGGGGAAAGATTCTCGCTTAGCATGCCAAATGCCCCCGTTTCGAATCCCAGTTGAGCCTTTTTTATCTATTATTAAATGATTGTATTTAGCACATAAATGAAGGTCATGACGTGTACAAACTATTATTATTGTGTGATAAATATTTATATTAAAAGAATAAGAAGTCAAATCTTTATATCCATATTGGATTTTTTGTTTGCTTTAGTACATAATTTAATAATTCTGCAAATCCGGGTAGATGGCTTGACCTCCCAATTTGAGCATCCTCCCCTTTTTTTCCTTCAGCGGGGGACACAAATTCTCTGAATTAGCTTGTTTAGATATAACATCTATTTCCGGTTATTTTCCAAAAGGTGGCCCAATAGGAATATAAAAGGCTCCCTCATCCTCAGATCCAACGCATTCTTTACAAGTGAAGAAATTATCTGGGTCCCATTTTTTCTTGATTCTTAAAAGACGCATATAATTATTGCCCCAGAATTCTTTCTGCCAAGAAATGACGTCACTCCCTGCGTTATTGACATATCGTCCTAGCCCGAATTTGCTGAGTTCTTTGCCAATTTCTTCTCCTCTCATAAGAAAGGCGCTGTAGTCCATATCTGTTACAGGCAAATAAGTCGTGCTTGTTAAGGACATCAATGATGATCGCAGGGTGGGGTTCACTGCAGTCTCATGATGTACCACTGTCTTCACTTTACCTAAAAACAATATTAAAATAGTGTAAG